TTTTTTTTTTTTTTTTTTTTTTTTGGCGGTATTGGGTTCAAACTTGGGGCCTTGCACTTGCCAGGCAGGCACAAGCACCTTTGAGCTACATCCCTGGCCCAATTCCTGAAAACATTAGCTTTCACTGAAGAGTTTTTAAATGGTGTATATAACATATTAATAGTATCAATATGTCATAATTTTATTGAAAATGATTGATAAATTAACTTTCAAATAGTATTTTTTATTTCATACTTAGACATTTTAGTTACTAAAATCACATTTTATTTTTAAATTTATATATCCAAATTTCAAGGTATGTTTTGTCAAGTCTTGCCAACATAATAGTTCCGGGAATGTCTCATAAAGGCTCAAAAGGAATTTTCTTTTATCTGTCCTTTATTTTTAATCATCACTGTGACAAGCAAATGTACCAGTTTAAAAAAAAAATCAAGCCTCTCCTTATAATAGTAAATATGAGTATCATTTTTTCTTTCAGATTGGATTTCCTCCCTTGCTGAGTATTGTTAGCAGAATGAATCAGGTAAAATCCATCAAATACTAAGGATGTATGCATTGTTTTGTTTGCAATGTGTGTGAAGTATTAGAATACATTGCCTTGGTTAGTTACAGTGTGCAAGACCATGTACTAATTGCTTCAGAATTTTTACAGATTTTTGTTGTTGGATATGGGGTCTTGTCAAGTTGCCTGTGCAGACCTGGAACTTGTGATCCTCTTGCTTCTACTGGATCTGGCTGTTCTAAACTTTTTTTTTAACAGTACTAGGCATTGAATCCAAGGCCTTCACACTGAGTATGATCTCCAGCCTTTTCTATAATTTTTTATTTTGAGACCAGGTCTCACCAAGTCACTGAGTTGCTCAAACTGAGCTCAAAATTCAGTCCTCCTGCCTTGTTGTCCCTGAGTGCTGGGATTACGAATGTGTGCCACCACGCGTGGCTAGTTTTTTATACACAAGGACACAAAATTTGAATTTTAGTCACTTGCAGGTAGTTTTTTAGCAAGTAAATGATAGCATTAGGATTTGATAGCAAGTGGATTTGACTCCAGAGCTCATGCTCTTGATATGGTGGTAAAGTACCTGGTCGTGTCAGTTACAGTTGTTGGAATCTGAGGTTGAATTAAATACTAAGGTCAGAGTGCCGTTTCTCTTAGTAGATGTCCCACACACACTAAGATTAAAATGCTGGGTGTGATAATGCATGACTGTAATGCCAGCACTCTGGGAGGCTGGGGCAGGAGGATCACAAGTTCAAGCCCAGCCTGGGAAAATTAGTGAGATCTTGTCTCAGCATAAAAAATTTGAATAATGTGGTGAGGATGTAGCTCAGTGTCAAGACCACAGGTTTCAATCTCAAGGTGGTGGGGAAGAGGATTGAAACACATAATTTCAAGGACCAAAAGGGAAGAAATACAGAATTTGGTTCCTCGGGCTTTTAGCAGTAGGGACTGTGCTATCCACTTAAAAAGCAAAAAACTTTGACTCTTGCTTTTATGTAGCATTAAGTACTCGTAAGATTTTTTTTTTTGAAGGTCATGTTGGAAATCTTATATAGGATGATAATTTCACTTACTTTATCATTTGTGTTGATATTATAGCAGTCACATTAAATTGTCGGTATTTGTTTTGTTTTGTTTTTAGTAAGGACCCAAGTGTAATCGAATAAGCCAGAATATATTTTCAAGATTTTTGATAATTTTGTCTGGAAAAATTTGGGGGTTTTCTTTTGATTTTGTTTTGCTTTGTTTGGTATTCTTCAGTGCCTTGCAGGATAAGCAAGTGCTTGTACCACCAAGCTGCATCCCCAGCCCTATGCAATTTTAAAACTAGTCTTTCTCTAGTTTTTTTCTTCACATTTATACTTTCATTTAATTGAACTGGGAAATAAACGAAAGATATTTATACAAAGATTCTCTTTTTAAGAGCATGTGGTTTTTCAAGTAGTTACAAACTAAATTAGTAGTTATTAACTAAATCCTAGGATCTACACCAAAGCTTTAGTTGATACTTGAGATTTTTTTTTTTGATACTTGAGATCATAAGAATATTTATCCTGAAAGCCTCTTCTTCCTATGAGTTATCTAATCAGATTACTAGAATCATAGTTTTCTTTGGAAGTCTAAAGAATGTGGCCATTTTAAACATCAGAATGCTTCATGGAACTCACATTCAGCTTGTCAGTATTTTATTATTACTATAACCTTTCTCTCTTTTTCAGGCAACAGTAACAAGTGTCTTGGAATATTTGAGTAATTGGTTTGGAGAAAAAGACTTTACTCCAGAATTGGTAGTATTACATTTTTTTGTCTTCATAATGCAAGAAAAATTGTATATACAGTATTTGAGATGTGACTACATATTGTATTTACATGTGTGTATGTGTGTATATGTTTACGTATAACTTGAACTATTCTTGTTTGAACCTTTTAGTGTAGGTTTTGGTATTTAAATTTTGGTATGTTTAGTATATTATCACAATGTGCTATTGAGGTTAAGAAAAGGAGTCTTTTAGTATAAAATTTTAGACCATCAATAGAGGTTTAAGCAACTTCTAAGTATAGAAGGCCTTTGGATACTTGAATGGTGGCTTTACATAGTAAATACAGTGGTACTTCGGTTTCCAAACTTAATTTGTTTTATGATTTTGGAGAAAATGTTGCATTTGTGTTTGTGTGGGGAAGATGGCTGTGGTCGTATTTGTTGCCCACTGAGGAGTTCAGTGGCACCACACCTGCCTTTCAAGCTCAGTGTCCTGAATTCAATCCCTGGTACCAGAAAAAACAAATAAAATAAAATAAAATAAAATAAAATAAAATAAAATAAAATAAAACCCTATCCTCTGAACACATGAGACTTTGGGGGATATTTTAGATCTAACCATAACAGTGAGACTGCAGGTTTGTGCTTTTGGTAGTTTTCACATTTTTTTCTGCATAGAGTGACTATTATTTTATAATTTAAAAGAAAAACTTATTTAAAAAGGGAGTGGAGATAAGTTTAGCTTCTATTTATAGAAGTGTCAAAACTATTTTGTTTACAGTATAGTTCCTTCATATGGACCTAGGTACAAATTACAGAATTATAAAATGACTTTATATCTGTCCATAGGGGAAAAGTATCTTGATTTTTGTAAGGATTTATATGTATGTCTTAATGTAGTTTTTTGCTTATAAATGGAAACTTCAGTTGTGATAGAATCTCTGAAACAAAAGGTATGGTATTTCATGCCTACAATCCCAACACTTGGGAAACTGAGGCAGGTGAGCTCAGGTTCAGGGCCAACGTGGACAACATAGCAAGACCCTTTCTCAACAAGAATTTCTGAAATGAACTCTCTCAGAATTCAGAAGTATTTTGAAATGTCTAAGGCCCTGTGTATATAGTTTTAAAATATAAGAGCTGTGTGTTGTGGTGCACACCTATAATCCCAACCCTCAGGAGGCTGAGACAAGAGGATCACTATAAGTTCCAGGCCATTCTGGGCTAGTGAGTTCTAGGTCAGCCAAAACTAAAAAGTGAGACCCTCAGAGGGGGGCGGGGTGCCAGCCAGCTCCATATATGATCCTTTATTGTCCATACTCAAACGTTGTATAATTAAATGGTCTGTAAATTTATGCATAGCATATAGCCAGGCACAACATTGGACATTTTGAAAAATAAGTTTATGGTTCACTTTTTGTCTCCTAACTACTTTCTAAAATACTCTTTAGGGAAGATGGTTCTATGCCTTATTAGCTTGCCTTGAGAAGCCATTACTCCCTGAAGCTCACTCACTGATTCGGCAGCTTGCAAGAAGGTGTTCTGAAGTGAGGCTCTCAGTGGTGAGTTGTAACTTACTATATCAAATTGGAAGCACCCACCTATTCCTATGGTGATAGGAGAAGGATTACAAGGAAATAGGGAAATCTGAAATATTTTGTGAGTTGGGCTTGGGTTAGGCCACAGAATGGAAAAGCCCAAAATAATAATACTTTAAATAAAATGAAAGTGTTTTCACAGAGCCAGGCATGGTGGCGCACGCCTGTAATCCCAGCACTCAGGAGGCTGAGGTAGGAGGATCCCTGTGAGTTTGAGACCAGCTGGGGCTACACAGTGAGTTCCAGGTCAGTCTCAACTACAAAGTGAGACCCTGTCTCAAAAAACGAAAAAAAAAAAAAACGTTTTCACAGAAAAAGGAAGCAGGTTAGATGGGAGAAGACATAAACCTAACTAACCCTTGGGCTCAGCCACTTGTGGCTTCCATCCTTATCTTACTCCATTTGTGTTGCTGTAACAAAATACCTGAGGCTGGCTACCTTATAAAGAAAAGAGGTTTGTTTACTCAGTTTTGGAAACCAAATGTCCTGGAATCAGATAGCCTCATCTATTCAGCCTTCTGACTACTGGCAGGAGCACATGCGAGAGCAGTAAGTGGTGTGTGTGGAAGAGGGGATGTGCCAGGCCCTCATTAAAATAACCCCTAACCCATGAAGAGTTAGAATCCCAGCCAGACAGCATTAATCATTAATCCTTCTGAGCAAGTACCTTTCTTTGAAAGCTTATTTTAAAAGCCAGATGGTGCATACCTGTAATCCTAGCTACTTGGAAGACTGAGACAGGAGGTTGCAAGCTCAGGGCCAGCCTGGACAGTTTCATGAGACTGTCTCAAAATTAGGAAAAGAAATTAAAACAGGGCTGGGGCATAGCTTAGTGGCAGAGTGCCTAAAATGTGCAAGGTCTGGATTTAACCTCAGTACCAACAAAAACAAAGTGATTTTACATGTTACTTAAGAAATCATTTAACTCTAAAATGTTCTCCTGTTTTCTTGTTTTCTGAAAAATAAACTTATTTCAAAATATTTGAGAAGAACAAATAATTTAAAGTTTTGTCTCTTCGGCTGGGCATGGTGGCACACGCCTGTATTCCCATCCCTCAGGAGGCTGAGGCAGGAGGATCCCTGTGAGTTTGAGACCAGCCTGGGCTACCAAGTGAGTTCCAGGTCAGTCTCAACTACAAAGTGAGACCCTGTCTCAAAAACCAAAATAAATAGGGCCGAGAATTTAGCTCAGTGGTTCTGCCTTCTGCTTTGCAAGTGCAAGGTCACGAGATTGATCCCCAGTACCAAAAACAAAACAAAACAAAAACCTAAATAAATAAATAAAAATAAAGTTTTGTCTCTTCTTTTCTTTAGGACACCAAAGATGATGAGAGGATTCCTGCTTTGAATTTATTAATCTGCTTGGTTAGCAGGTATAGTTAAGTAATTGTTGGCTTCTTTCTTATTTATCTGTGAGGTAAAGCATAGTTTTGTTGCATTTGTATTTTATTAACTTCCTGGATGCCTTGTTCTTTTTCGGTTCAAGCATGTTTTTATTTAAGGTATATTAGGTTTAATTTTTTTTTTTTTTTTTTTTTTTTTGGGTACCAGGGATTGAACTCAGGACCTTGTGCTTGCAAGGCAGGCACAGTGCCACTGAACTAAATCCCTGGCCCTTGATTTAATTTTTTTATACCACATAATTTTTTGTTTCACCTGGAATTTATTTGAAAATTTTTTTATATTCTAAACTCTAAATAGTGGTAAAACATAACACCTATTTATGTTAGATCTTTTCCTGGACATATATTTGTTCCATTGATCAGTGTTCTATTCCAGTGCCAGTAACTTTTTGAAGGTGAATATTTAAATATCAGGAAGGTAAACAATCCTACATCTGTTCTTCCCTCTTCCAAACAAGACACTCTTGCAGAATACACACAAAATCTACATCTAGTTTTTTGATCCGAAATAATTCTGCTGCTTCTAATAATTCACATTTCCTGGGTATTTGTGCCACGCATTTTTCTTAGCCTGTTGTACTAGCAACTCATTTACTGGTTCCTCATAATGTAGCGGTACATTATCAGTACAGATGAGGAAACAATGGAGGAAGAGATTAAACAGCTTTCCTACCAGCATATCTAGTACTGCATAGAACTAGGGTCCAGGCCCCAGCAGCTTTACTCCAGCACTCAGTCCAACCTGCAGCGGGTCTTTTCTTTGCCCCGTTTTGTTTTGTGTTTGAGACAGGAGCTTGCTGTATGGTCCAGGCTGCCCTTGCATTCGCTATCTAGCCCATGACGGCCTTAAACTTGAGGTGATACTTCTGTCTCGGCCTCCCAAGTGCTGGGATTACAGGTGTCTGCCACCACATCTGACTTTCTAAAAAATTAATAAATTTTTACTTGAGAAATTCTACATGTAATTCCTTTATTGTCCATCAAGGTTACATTAATGACATTCTTTGTCTTCAAGATAGCCCTGGCATCAGGGACCCAGGATTAGGTAGGGTAGATAGATCCACCTTGTTGTGACACGCTAAGGTATCACACCAAGGAATAGTACAGGTCTCTGACACATGCCAGTATCTAAGGTTAAAAGAAAAATCATTAGGTTTTGATACTTTTGACATCATTTAAAAAATACTATTATAAAAATCTTATAAATAATATAAAATATAAAGTAAATAATATAATATATTGATGTTATATAATATACAAATAATATAAATATTATAAAGCATAATGGCACATGCCTATCACCTTGGCATTGTGTAAGGCTAGCTTAAACTACATACCAAGACTTGTCTCAAAACAAAACAAAAAGGATATTTGTTACTTATATAAATTTAAGTTTTGGCCCGCATAGTAGCGCAAGCCTATAACCCCAGCACTCGGGAGGCTGAGGCAGGAGGATTGCTGTGAGTTTGAGATTGGGCACACACCTGTAATCCCAGCACTTGGGAGGCTGGGGGAGGATTGCTGTGAGTTTGAGAACAGCCTGGGCTACAAAGTGAGTTCCAGGTCAGTCTCAACTACACAGTGAGACCCTGTCTCAAACAAACAAAAAAATAAAAATAAAATAAAATAAATAAATGAAGCTTTTTTTTTGAGACAGCATCTTGCTGTGTAATTCAGGCTGACCTTGAACTCACTGTGTTAAGGTTGGCCTCAAACTCTCAATAGTCGTCCTGCCTTAACCTCCCGAGTGGTGGGATTACAGGTGTGCACCACCATGTTAGGCTAAATTAAGCATATTAAGCCAGTTTTTCAACATATCAAACCTCCTCCATTTAATTGCATATGATTATCAAGGGGATGTTATTAAATAACTGTAACATTACCCTGTAACAGTCCTCATATAACAAGGAAAATTTTATATACAAATTAGCAAAAAATTTAAAAAGCCCAGTTACTGAGAGAGAAAGATTAAATTCTCCTGTCAGGATTTAAAAAAAAAATCTAAAAAGGACTGGGGATGTATTTTCTTGTGAAGTCCTGGGTTCAACCCTGAGTACAAAAAAAGAGAGAGGAAGAAAGACAAAGAACAGTAACTATTAATCCATAGCAATAGTTTACTGACTGGAGTTCTGTTCGACTAGGATCAAATTTGTTACATGTTTTTTAACCTTAATTACTTAACTAATGATCATGATCTTTTTTTTTGAGACAAGGTCTCGCTCTGTAGTTTAGGCTGACCTTGAACTGACCGTGTAGCCTAGGCTGGCCTTGCACTTGTGGCAATCCTCTTACCTCAGTCTCACAAGTGCTGGAATTACAGGCAGGAGACACCATGCCTAGCTCTATCTTTTTTAAGGTTTTTCTTATGGAGATTTTCAAACACATACAAACGTGAAATAAATCTTCAGGCACATTTAACACTGAGCTTCAGTATGAGGAGGCACAGTGTTTTATTTCTCTCCATCTTAAGTGTGTTTTAAACAAATACCAGACATTGCTTCTGTTTGGGGTATATGTCTGATAAGTGCTTTTCAAAAACATGACTATAATACTGATAGCAAACCTAATAAACTTAATAATTCCACAGTATTATATTCTGTCCAGTCTATGTTTCCTATCCCTCTAATTGTCCCCAAAACATATTCTTACCTTTAAATTTTTAACCAGGACCCATTCATTGCATTTGCTTGATAATATCTCATCTGTATGGTTTTTTTCTTTGTCACTTTATTTGTTAAAATAAGTGGGTCATTTGATTTACAAGTTCTCCTGTTCTGGAGTGACTCTAATTCAAGGTAGTTGTTCATGTGTTTTTCTGAACCCCATGTGTAGTGTAAAGTAGGAGGAAAGTCAAGAAAGCCATGATGATGTGAAATGTGTGCGTTTGATTGGACTTCATAGGAAACGTGTCTGGGACACATCAGGGGGCACAACGTGTGTCACTGTTCACAGAATGTGTGCTTTTCGTAGTAACAAAATTGATCACTGTGTCCCTTTGGCAGCCACTGATTTTTGCTTAAAACGTATTTCATTAAAGAATTTTTAAGTGTTGAGTTTTTCATCATTTCTTATTTACATATTAGCTAGAATTTTTTGTATTAAAAATATTTCCCCCTCGGGACAGGGATATAGCTCATCAGTGCAGCACCTGCCTGGCCAGTGCAAGGCCTTGAGTTCGATTCCCAGTACAAAAACAAAAAATTTCCTTCTAATAGTTTATTTACACCGATGTACAGTTTATACAAAAATATTACTGGTAGGGGCTGGGGATTTAGCTCAGTGGTGCTGCCACCTGCCTTGCAAGCACAAGGACCTGAGTTCAATCCCCTGTACCAAAAATATTACTGGGGCCAGGGATTTAGCTCAGTGGTGCCATGCCTGCCTTATAAATGAAAGGTCCTGAGTTCGATCACCAGTACCAGGAAAAAAAAAATTAGTTACTAATTTTTAGACTAAGAAGTGGCATAGCATTTTCCAAAGGTTATCAATAAAGTTGTTTTTATTTTTGATTTATCATTTTTAGTTGAATTTTTTTGGCAGGGGACAGGGTCTCACGCAGTTCAGGCTGGCCTTGAACTCCTGGTAATCCTCTGCCTCAGCCTCCCGAGAGCTGGGATTATAGGTGTGGGCATGTGCCACCACACCCTGCTGAAATGAGGAATTTTAACACCAGATGAATTTGTGCTGGTGTTGTTTTTGTTCTGTTTTGTTTTTTGATGCTGAAATTCTTCCATCTTTGGATGTGGGAGCACTTGAAGTCAGTTCCTTTCTCTCTCTCTCTCCTTGTACACTCACATGTGTGCTGCTGAGGCTCAAACCCAGGAACTGGAGCCTGCCAGGCAAACACCCAGGTCTTCCCCTAGACCTTCTGTCTCCATTTAACCAACCCTTAGCAGTCTTTTATAGATTTCTAACTCTTTGGTATATTGAAACGATTCAGTGCTTATGTCTGTCACTCTACTTTCTCCCTTCCTCCCTCCCTCCCGCCTTCCCTCCTCTCCTCCCTCTTTTTTCCTCTCTCTCTATTGTGGAGAGAGGGGTTTGGATTTTTAAGATGGAATCTTGCTATGTACTGTATGTAGTCCAGGCTGGGCTCAAACTCACTGCGATCATCCTGACCCCAGTCTCCACAGGTCTGGGATTACAGATGTGCACCACTACATCTGGCTTTGAAATGTGTTTTTTTATATGGGAGTGCTGGTTCCTTTTTTTTTTTTTTTTTTTTTTTAAGTAGGAAAAGATTCTTATAGACCATAATTGGAAACTAAAGAAAGTAGCTACTGCCAGGTGTGGTGGTGCATACCTGTAATCTCAGCACTCAGGAGGCTGAGGCAGGAGGATTGCCACAAGTTCAAGGACTACTTGGCTACATAGTTTTTTGTTGTCGTTGTTGGGTAAATTATTTTATTGTATTTATTTCTTTTTTTTTTTCCTCTCATTGAGTTTATTGGTACATTTTAGGTATGCAGTACAGTTACACTCATCATTGGGATCGGGCTACATAGTTCAAAGCCAGCCTGAACCAACAATGAGACCCTGTATCAAAAAGGGGGGGGGGGACAAAACCAGTTAAGTTGGTCATTGTCTTTAGGCCTTTTGAATTAAGAGAGCTAAAAAGCATGTACTGTTTATTTGTGGTGCTAAGGATTGAACCCAGGTTCTGCAAATGCTAGCCCAGGACTCTTACCACTGAGCTACAACCCCAGCCCAAGGGTGTACTTTTTAGAAAGGAAAAGAAAATCCTCAGTTCAAATTGGTTATTTCAGTTGTAACTTAATGCAGTTGGCTTTATTTTTTGGATTGTAGTACTGGGGATTGACTCCAGGGTATTTTTAAAATTTTGAAACAGTCACACTGAAGTTTCCAAATTTCCCAGGCTGGACCCAAATTTATGATCCTTGGGCCTCAGCCTCCCATAATGCTGAGATCACAGGTGTGGGTCACCACATGCAATGTCTTTAATGTTATATAGTATGTATAGAATATATATATACATATAGTATGTATTGAATTAGTTCCTCTTTATCCTGAAGGAATACATTCCAAGGGCCCAGGACTCAGCTCAGTGGCACCATACCTGCCTTGCAAGTGCAAGATCCTGAGTTCAATCCCTGGTACCTGGGGTGGGATGGTGGAATACATTCCAAGACACACAGTGAATTCCTGAAATCATGCATAATACCAAGCCCTATAATTTACTGCTTTCTCCATTTTAACTGTATGCACTGTGACTGTAACTTTTGCAGTTTGAATTGCCATAGCAAAACTAGCAGATTTCTTTAATATCATGGGTAGAAAACTTATTCGTACTGTGGATCCTAGCAATGTCAAAGCATGATTTTTTTTTCTTCTCCCCTTCCTAATAAAGTTGAAAGCTTCTGCCTTTTCACTTGAAGGAAGTACTACATAGCTTATTTTTGGGATACTCAAACTGCCAGCATTAAACCATTCCACTTTTCAGCCATTATTCAGTAAAGTAGGGCTTACTTGAACACAAGCACTACAATACAAAGCCACAGCCATTTGATAACTGAGACTGCTGCTAGGCTAACAGGCAGGTGGTATACACTGCAGGAATGCACGGGACAAAGGGCTCAGTCATATTCTGGGTGGAATAAAGTGGGCTAGCACAAGATTTTATCACTCAGCTAAGAACACACAATTTTTTTATTTTTTTTTATTTTTGAGACAGGGTCTTGCTATGCAGTCCAGACTGGCAGTCCTCCTGCCTCCGCCTTCCTCCTGAGTGCTGGGATTACAGGCACATGCCACCATGCCCAGTGCGGAGTATACAATTTAAAACATGAATTGTTTATTAGTAGGATTTGCCATTTAATATTTTTGGTTGATCTTGTTAATTGAAATTGCAAAAAACAAAACTACAAACAGGAAACTACTGCATATTTTTCTCCTAATAAGGTTTAAGAGGTTAAGAATCAGTCAAAAATTCTAATGGGCTAGGGATTTAGCTCAGTGGTTCCGCCATCTGTCACAAGTAAGTGCAAGGTCCACAGTTCAATCCCCAGTACCTCCCCACCAAATTCTGATATCTGGACCAGAGATTTAGCTCAGTGGCACCATGCCTGCCTCACAAACACAAGGTCCTAAGTTCAATCCTTGGAGCCGCAAAAATAAATAAATAA